GCATCCCAAAGGGTCTCCCCAAGGCTGTCAGAAGTGATCCTGAGTGCAGAGCCAGGAAGTAAGCCCTGAGCACAAGGGGTGCGGCCCGAGGCAAAACCAAAACAAGTCAGCTGAGATTTCTCAAGTGGTTGGGGTTGTAGCCAGAGATGGTCAGCGGATGCTGTGTGGGTGGGGCCGCCCTGGGCCGGGCAGCCCCGGCAGAGCACACAGCAGTCCTCCCTCATCCCTCCCGCCCCTAACCAATTCGCACTTTTTTGGGGTAGGGTTAACATTCTGGTGCACAGGTAGCGAAGTGACAGTTTGGTGTGGGACCCAGCAGAGCTGACATGACACAACCAGAATGACACTCCATGGTGTTCAGGGAGCCACAGGGCACGAGGGACTGAGCTCAGGGCCAAGACATCATCATTCTAGTTAAAAGGTGAAAAGATTTTTAAATCTCCCATTTGACTCAGCAATACCACTCCTGGGAATATATCCCAGAGAGGCAAAAAAGCATACTCGAAGTGACATCTGCACTTGTTTGTTCATTGCAGCACTCTTTACAACAGCCAGAATCTGGAAAAAACCTGAGTGCCCGAGAACGGATGACTGGTTAAAGAAACTTTGGTACATCTACACAATGGAGTACTATGTAGCTGTTAGAAAAGATGAAGTCATGAAATTTACATACAAGTGGTACTACAGGGATAGTATCATGCTAAGAGAAATGAGTCAGAAAGAGAGGGACAGACAAAGAAAGATTGCATTCATCTGGAGAACATAAGTAACAAAATAGGAGACTAACACCCAGGAGTGGCCGAGATTAATACCAGGAATTTTGCTCCATGACTTGGAGGCCAGCCACACATGCTAGGGGAAAAGGGAGCTCAGATAGAGAAGGGAGCACCAAATAAAGGGTGTTGTGAGGATCCTCCCAGGGTGGGAGAAGCATGCTGAAAGTAGACTAAAGACCGAACATGATGGCCACTCAGTACCTCTCTTGCAAACCACAGGACCCAAAAGGAGAGAGAGAGTACAAAAGGGAATGCCCTGCCACAGAGGCAGGGTGGGGTGGGGGGGATGGGGGGTGGGAGGGATGCTGGGACCTGTGGTGGTGGAGGATGGGCACTGGTGGCGGGATGGGTACTTGATCACTGTATAACTGAAACCCAAGCACAAAATTTGTAAGTCTACAACTGTACCTCATGGTGTTTCACTAATAAAAAATAAATTTAAAAAAATACAAATTTTTAATTTACACAAATACAGAATTATGACAGATACTTATAGTAATGTTCAAATATATATGGGCTGGAGCAATAGCACAGTGGTAGGGCGTTTGCCTTTCACACAACCAGTCCGGCCAAGCCAGGTTCGATTCCTCTGACCCTCTTGAAGAGCCCGGCAAGCTACCGAGAGTATTTCACCCGCACGGCAAAGCCTGGCAAGTTACCCATGATGTATTCGATATGCCAAACACAGTAACAACAAGTCTCAAAATGGAGTCATTACTGGGCCCACTTGAGGATAGCGGTATTTTGTGTGTTCAAATATATCACCACCAGTAACAAGTTTGATGAAAAGTACACAATTCCTCACAAATAAAGCTATAAACTATTAAAGAAGGCATCTTTAGTGTGGAAACATAAAATGTTTATGAATTATAAAACCCAGTCAAATTCAGTATGTAAATGAAATAATCAAGAAAACCAAGACGCTTTCTCAGTTTTCAAAACATCTGTAAGATTTAAGATCAATTATAACTCTGAAAATGTGAATTAGTGTATGAAGAAACAGATAAGAGGGAGAGAACTGAGAGCCAGAAGTAATACCACACAGAGAAAACTTCATTCATGACAAAGGGAGCATTGAGCAGTATTGGAGAAAGATCAATTCTCATAATTATTACTGGTCATGTGACTGATTATACAGATTAACAAAGAAATCTGATTCCCCATATCAGACTACATTATCAGATTAAGTTCAAATGGATTGTGGATCTAAATATGAATGGAAAAAAATAAATCCTTTATCAGATATTGAAGAAAAACATTTCCATGAAACTGAAGTACCAAAGAAATTTTTAAACGGAAACAGAAAGTAGCAACCATTAAAAAAGTCAGAGTAATAGTACAGATTCTCGGGCAACAGAAAGGCAATATGAAGGAAAAAACAGGAAAAATGGTAGAAAACAACTGTGATAAACTGAAGTAACTTTTATCTGGTATACAGGAAGAATACTTTCAAACAAGTAAGAAAGTGAGGGAAAGATAAAATCAACTGAATTTCTTTAAAAAGGTATCCAAATAGCCAATATCCACACAAAAAGGTGTTCAACCTCATTAATGATAAAAACAGAAGATACTGAATACAGAAGAGGAGCTGAAACTAGATGGACCAATCATCACCAAATTTGGAGCAAGCTCCATATGGCTTGGGGCAGGGGCGCGCACTTGTCCAGCCACTTTGGAAAATAGCTTGGCACAATTGCTGAAGTTCAAAATCTGTAAGACTTCCACTTCTAAGAGGATTTTTGTAGATGTGCCCCAGGAGACATTCGCAAGTGCCCACAGCACCTGATTTGTAACCGCCCCCAAGAAGAACCCACAAAGCCCTCCGCTGTTTTCAAGAGAACAATTGTAGAATACTCTATACAAAATACTACGCAGAAATGAAAGCAGTCAACTACAGGTGAGCAGAACAAGGATGACTTTGAAGATGAGCTAAAGAGAAGTCAATACAAAAGAAGTTTTTTATGATTTCTTTCCACAAAGTTCAATAGCGGGTCAAACAAAATTACTGTGATTAAGGATACATTCTTGAGAAATGAAAATGAAGAAGGTAAGAAATGATTCCTAAGGAGGTCCTAAGAGCAGCAGCCTTTTCGGGGAGGAAGCTATGGTCGGGGTGAAAGCAGACGGCTTTCCAAGCCATGGCATGGGCCCACTTTCCGCTTTGGGTGGTCTTCATAGGCGTGTTTGGTAATTATTCACTAAGCTGTATACTTTACTCGTATAATCCAGGATAAAAATAGGATTTGAAAAATGCAGAGGGGCTGAGTCCTGAAGGAAAGGCCCAGGTAAAGGAACAACGAACAAGTTCCAGTCACCTGCTTTGGTCTGTTCTCTGCAATGGGAGATCCGGCCAGCCTCAGCGTGCAGCGTGGCACATGCTTTACTGTGGAGCCATGTCGCTGGGGACAGTCATTTCTAAGCGGGGTCACACGATCTGGCTCTGCCCGACTTCCTACGTGAGCACTCCACAGGTGCACAGAAACCTACCATTTACCTGGCAAGAGGCAGGCGCCCACTGAACTAAATTCTCCCTGACAGAATTTCTCGAAACTTAATCCACAGATTCCCTCCTCATCACCAACAACTCCTCATTCAGATCCTTAATGTGGAGGAACTATTTCAAAACTGTAAAAACTTTTTATTGACTGATTTTTGTTCTGTGGCCACACCCAGCGACGCTAAGGAATTACTCCTGGTGGTGCTCAGGGACCATATGGAATGCCAGGGATTGAACCCCGACTGGCTGCGTGCAAGGCAAGCGCCCTACCCTCTGTGCTATCGCTGTGGCCCCTAACTCTGGAAGTGTGTATCTATGCCTGGCCCCTTTACAATACTCTCATATCCACTGTTTCCTGACTTAGGAACTAAAATTTTTATTCTTCTATTACATAAATTCTGTGTTTGACAATTTTTTTTGTTTGTTTGTGGGTCACACCCAGCGATGCTCAGGGGTCATTCCTGGCTATGCACTCAGGAATCACTCCTGGCAGTGCTTGGGGGACCATATGGGATGCCCGGGATCGAACCCGGGTCGGCCGCGTGCAAGGCAAACGCCCTATCCGCTGTGCTATCGCTCTGGCCCGACAATCTTTTTAACAAGGTTACCTACATATGATTTTTACATTTTGTTGCTACTCGACGTGGTATATAATCTCACTTTTTCTAACAGCTTATCTCAAATACTTTTAACATAATAGAAAAATTTCTATTTGCCGATCTGTTAGTCTATGAATTTGGTTGAAATGTCTAAAACCATGTTATCATGAAACAGGAAGACAACTGTTGAAATATCCTTAAATTTTTCATTTAAAAACCTACCAATTTACAGGGCTGGAGCCACAGCACAGCGGGTAGGGCATCTGCCTTGCACGTGGCCAACCCGGGTTCGATTCCCAGCATCCCAGAGGGTCCCCTGAGCACTGCCAGGAGTAATTCTTGAGTGCATGAGCCAGGAGTGACCCCTGTGCATTGCCGGGTGTGACCCAAAAAGCAACAGCAAAACAAAACAAAACAGAAAAATCTACCAATTTAATTTTATAATTTTATTTGGGGAAGGGGTTGTGCTTCACCCGGCAGCGCTCAGGGGCTCATTTCCTGGTGGTCTTCAGAGGACCATACTCATGCCAGGATGAAACCAGGGTACACATCTTATGTACTCTCTCCCAGGCCCATTTTTGAAGAAAATCTTACTCTAGTCATCATAAATACAGTGATTATAAATACAGTTATATCTTATAAGTACTGCTAATTACTTGTTCTTTTACACACAAAATAAACTTCGATTTAGTGTATCATCTTATAATAAAAGTGCTAAATTTCTAGAAATATTATTCAAAGACTTCGATCAGACTCAAATGAAGTGGCAGAAGTTCAAAGTCAACTTGGATATGTAGAAGGAAAACGTTTCTGAACAATCTCTAAGACAATTTGACTATTAAACAAGTATCTATTATGTAACAGGTATTAAGTACTTGGTTTTACAAGGTGAATCTGCTCTCTCCCTCCACGAGTGCATGTAAATCAGAATCAATAAATCAATAAACAACAGCTTCTCTAATCCACGTGGAAATCAACAGCAGTAACGATGAGCGGTAAAGTGCAGCAGACCGGGTCATGGAAATACTGAACCGAGGAGAAAGGACGCCCGTGCAGCAGAACACAGAAGGCAGGGGCGCCCGGGGAGAAGGATGGGGAGACCTTAATTAGGGACAAACAAGCTCTTACCTGTATCTGAGGGTTAGTCAGTTCCATCGTGTAGTAGCAAGGCTGAGATGTGATGTTTATGGGAAATCCACATATGTGAGGCAGATTAGACTTTAGATCTGAAAAAAAGCTTTTCAACACGTCTTCCATGTCTACTCTTGGGAAGAACTGCACGGGCTGACTCCTGATGCAGCTGAGAGGGTACGTGACCAGGTTAAAGAACACAATGCTCACTGGACAGACAGAAAGCAGCACACACACCCATCCCGTGAAAACGATGTAAATCCTAACTGTAGCGTGTGTTTATGTCACACTAAACAGAACTAAAAGCTTGTTTTCTCGGACTAATTTACATCTATTTTAACACTCACAAATAGAACAGCTCAGCTCTATTTGTACATAAACTTTATTTCTATTATCAGAAAGCAGCACTGTAAGTTTTATAGATTATAAAAGTAAATGTTTGTTGTAAAGAATAACAGGTTGCATCTCCAAAACAAAATATTTTGTACAGAGAAGCAACTCAAATAGATTGCTTTTGAATCTCAAAGGAAATTCTTTCAAAAATCCAGTTACTTTTTCCGGTGAAAAAAACATTCTGCTGGCCTAGAAAGTCAGCTCTGTGAGCTGGGTGCGTTCTTTCGATGCTGGAGGCCTGGTCAGATCCCTGGTGAGGATCTCTAGAAGCAGGGTCTCCCCACATCCCGCATTGCCAAGCACAGCCACGTAGGGTCCGTCAGCCAAAAAAAAAAAAAATTTAAATAATTTTGAAGAACAATTTAAAAAAAGGAAAATAATCTGAAAACTCAGGAATCTAATGAAAGGGAGTAATTGATATCTTTCTAATTCAATTTTGTATTATAATTTGGGTTAAGAACTGCAGAATACAGAAGAACGAACATCTTGGCTCTTCCATTCTGAAATTTTAATTTACAGTGACCAAGGACGGTGAGTTACAATTTCACTTGAGCACTAATGATCTTTTTGTGTATAGATTTTTAAAATAAGGGCTGGAGCGATAGCACAGCGGGTAGGGCGTTTGCCTTACAAGCGGCCAACGTGGCCGACCCGAGTTCTATTCCTCTGTCCCTCTCGGAGAGCCCGGCAAGCTACCGAGAGTATTCGATATGCCAGACACAGTAACAACAAAGTCTCCAATGGAGACGTTACTGGGCCCGCTCGAGCAAATCGACGATCAACGGGAGGGCCTTTACCTTTTACCTTTTAAATATACATTAAATACAAGTCAAATCCTCTAATCGTCACCCGTAAAATTAAATACTCTTCTTAAAAGAAGTCTTTTAATCCCAGACTCTCACTGAAGTCCCAACTGCCACTGGGAGGCGCCCTCGGCTCAGGGGATCCTACGATTCCCTCCTTAACTTATCCAGCCAAGCCTGTGAACATTTTTATCCTATCTACTCTAAAATCTCTTTTGCAATCTTAATTATGGCATAATGCTTAAGGAATAAATTATCATCATTAAGCTCTTAAGAAACACCAGGGGAAAAAATTTTTTTTTTGGAAAGTATAAGAGAAAGGAAAAGCAACTCCCCAGCTGGGGATGAACTTAGAGGAGGGTTGATTTAAAAACAGAAAAATTCTAAGCAAAACACTAAACAAATCTGAAGAAGGAAAAAAGTCTGGAGGAAAACCGTTTCATCCCACCCAGAGAAGGCCGGACCTGACGATGCGTCAGATGCAGCGCAAGGCCGGCTAAGTGGCCGGAGCACCGGTTCCTGGGGTGTAAAGGATATGTAAAGGTTCTTCCTCCCATCATTTTGAAGTGCACGCTGCAGTAAACTTGAGTATTTATATCTCCACGCTCTTCTGGGAGTTTATAGCCATACTAAAATTTAAGAACAAAGTTAAATCCTCAAGAGGAAGCTCCCTTACTATTAAATTACACCAAGTAAAAGCTGGCCACTTAAACCACCTCACAGATGTTTACTCCTTACCAGGTGGTTCCAGTGCTTCTGGAAATCTTCAAAGGAATGGAAAGGACAGTTGGGGGGTGCCATGTGCAGAACACTTCTTATCTGTCCCATTTTCATACTGAAAGTGAAGAGTCAAAGTATTGTAAGACTGACAAATGAACAGTGTGATTCAGGGAAAGTTCAAAAAAGTCAGTGGTCATCTATATGCATAGAATTACCTAGTTATGCTTTGTAGCTCCAAATATGTATCAAGCTAAATCTCACCAACAGGAATTGTTTGGAACAACCACACCAAGTTACACGATAAACCAAGAGATGACCAATGAAATGCTGCCACGTTACAGTGTGCTAGGGAGCTGTCAGATGAGGAAATGGTCTGTTGAGCGCTGGTAAGAGACAGGGGTCTTCTGAGAGACAGAAGGCAGGTTAAGGCACAGGCCTGGCAAGCTACTGACCACACCACCTGGTTGGCTGGGAATGACCTGAGCGCTGCAAGGCCCCGGGCCTCCTCTCCTCCCCACCACCCCAGAGGAACAGAGTGAATCTGAGCCAGAAGTCGGGCATGCTCCCGACCGAGCGTCCCTGGGCTGCAGGCAGGAAGAGAGGGGATGGGAAAAACACTGTACGCAAGCGAAGCCACCTCAAGCATGAGGCCTGACGCGAAGGACCCACGCCAGGAGCCCAGCGACAGGACTGGGCCGTGAGAGAGGGGGGAAGGCTTCCTGTGGAGACTTTCCTGCGTCAAGGTGCCCCATTCTCATCTCTCCTTGGGAGGTGAACTTTAAGATGTTTTTGTTTTTCACTCTGGTAAAACCTATGTTCTCTTCTAAGTATGAATCTCTAACTCCTTCTCTCCCTTTATTTCCCCAATAAATTTGTTTGACTTCACCATCCATTTCCTCCTCAAGTTCTACTCTGCGAGGGAAAGGCGACAGGCCTGAAGGACTGACTTTCCCCTCCTACTAAGAGCAATTCCTCCCTCCAGTCCGGGGGGCAGGAATCATTTCTGACCCTGGGCAGGCAGCACAGGGGACCCCAGGGATGGTCTGACAGTCACCATGTGGCGCTAGCGAGATCTGAGGCTAGTCTGCAGATGCTCATCCCAGACTCAGGCTATTTACTTAGTCACCTCCTGAGTGACCGACCAGGAAGCCGTAGACTTCCTTCCTGAGTCTGCCACCTGTCCCCTCCGGATTTCACAGAAATCGCCAGAGCTCCCACAGAACACCTGCTTCAGTGATTATGTTCTGCGCACGTCGCTAGTTTATTTCATTTTTCTATCTTGGTGGAAATGTCCTCATCTGTAAAATGAGCATATTAATGCAGCATGCACAGGGTTACTGGGATGATTAGAATAAAAATGTAAAAGTATGCCAAAATAAATTCAAGTTCTTCTTAATCAGGTTAAATATCTTCTTGAGGTAGATATGCCCAAGAGAGGAGATCTTGGGCATTTCCTGGAGGTGCCCGGAGTCTGGGTCACTACTGGCAGTGTGATCATGGGACCATGTGTGAGGATCAAATGAGGGCCAGACCCCTGCAAGGTAAGTGCCTTAACCCCCTACCACCCCCAATCCTAAAATTTAACCTTTAATTTTAGGGTTGATCTTTTACAATTATTCGATATGCCAGACACAGTAACAACAAAGTCTCCAATGGAGACGTTACTGGGCCCGCTCGAGCAAATTACTTTTACAATTGTATTAGTAGTAAGACTCCCTCCTCTCCTCCCCCATCTTGGAGGCTGTACATATTATAAACTATGTTTCAGGTAGCACTGTCATCCCGTTGTTCATCGATTTGCTTGAGCAGGCCCAGTAACGTCTCCATTGTGAGACTTGTTGTTACTGTGTTTGGCACATCGAATACAACATGGGTAGCTTGCCAGGCTTTGCCGTGTGGGCGAGATACTCTTGGTTGCTTGCTGGGTTCTCCAAGAGGGGCAGAGGAATAGAACTTAGGTCAGTCGGGTCGGCCACATGCAAGGCAAATGCCCTACCTGCTGTGCTATACTCAGCTCATATCAAATGGTAACAGACCAGTAACTGATGAACATGTTTATAAGCTTTTATTTACATTATGATGGTTGTCATGTCAAGTGAGGTATCTACAGAATTTAATCTTAAAACCAGATCTTAAAAAATGACAAGTGTGTAATAGTATCATGTTAGTAGCTTGGGAAAATATATTGATAGCTTTTATGTGATAATATCTTTTAGTATCTTTTTAAAATTCAAATTTGTTTCTAGGAAGTCACAAAAATGGCTTTGCACATTATTAATGCTAGAGCAAATGAGAAAAAAAAACTAATAAATCTTGGCCCTCATTCTATTGATTACAAATTGAAATCTCACCTTGGTAAAACGTAGCACCAGTTGTTTAAAATCGAATGTCCTTCGATGACGGCATTCTTATCTTTATAAAACTCCGTTATAACATTCTGAGGAACAGCGAAGTCTTCTATCTTTTAACAGAAATAAAATTTTAATGCAGAAGTTCTCAAAATAATTTGACAAAATAAAATACTGAGCACGTACACATTTCTTCTGCACACTAAGCCGCTTGGTAAGCAGGTGGAGTCCCTCTGCTCCTTGCAAAACCACTCACTGTCCTCATGTTGCCACTCATGCCATTTCTCCAGAAAATGGTACTACAAATATTCCCTCATCTGGTCCCAAACTCAAACTCCGATTTTGTGCTTATTTCAACTTTTTTCAGTTTTTGGGGTTCTGTTAGTAGGAAACAAAATTTCTTCCAAACGAAAGTATTAAAGTTTCCTAAGAAAACTGCTACAGTCTAAAACTTCGCCTTTTTTCCAAGTGAAGGATGAGTTAGGGGACTCTGGGAGGTTTGGGATACAAGCTGATACAAGCTACTCTCCTTTTATATTCAAATTCTATCTCGGGAATGCTCTTCACTCTGTCTTCAAAGGACTCAATCTATAGACTATTTAAGCTGTTAGCTAAGCAATATTAATTTGCAACTTCAAAGATTTTTCTCAACCTAGGTAAAAATCTTGTGGGCATTTCCTTACTCAAAGATACAGAGAAGCCCTCTTCATCATCATTGCAAGTGAGAAGAAAAATAAGGTCTTAATTAGTATTAAAAAAAAAAAACAGGGTGTATGAAGATGAGAAAGAAGGGTTCAGAGCTCCACCCAACCCCTTTAACAAAACTGCGTCTAATTTCATTGCTGACTGCTTTTCAAGCAACTCCAGCTAAACCGGCTGAGTTTTCTCACTGCCTTAACGCATCATGGACATTTTAGCAATACATGGACTTCAAATCCTGCTCCCATTCAGATGGATAGAGATGTACCAACGAAAGCCTGGGCGGCCTGGATCTGCACCAGTTTCCTGTAACTTCGGTGACTAATCTTCCTCAGAATTCCTACAGTACTTTTCACTCTGATGGGAAGAACCCAGGCAGAGGGAGATAAGGACACTGGTTCAGAGAGAAGTGAGCAAGAACACCAAGTCTGAAGAAGGATACAGATTGCCCTGTGTCCCAAGATAAGCACCGAGCTGCCATCCCTGTGCTGGAGAGACAAGCTGCCCCAGCTGGGGCCTGAGACCAGCTCCCTGATAAGCTAAGGAAGGTCCGTGCAGATACGGCCGGAAGGACGCCAGGCTGTTACAGGTGGGTGCACAGACTCCTGGAGGGAACACAACAAAAATTAAATGGAGGGGCACGTTGCAGCTCCAAATGGTCCAAGTTTGGGTCCTCGCCGACATCTGCTTTCCTAGCTTGATTTTACATCCTCTGGGAATTTCCTACACTGTTTAGACAATTATGTCAATTGAGGCAGGATTGCCACGGGATTGGCCCTAAACGTCTACTCTGGTTTCTCTCAACACGTATTCTGAGCTTTTACAATCTATCCAACCCTTCCCATTTATCCAGAGACTGCCAGCCTGTTATTTAATAAGTATCTGTTATGTGAACAGACCCATACTGATAAACATCACTTCTTTCTTGTGACAGCAGGAGAACTTGGACTCATTTAGTCAGTGTTGACACAGTAGAGATACTTCATTTGGGGGTCTTTGTTTTAGAAATGGAACTCTAGATTCTGAGGAAGAATCGGAGTATAGATCAGAAGGGGAAAGAACTGAAAAGCAGACAACCGGGGCCTGAGACGGGAGGAAGAGCTGAGTGATGAGGAGGGTGCCAGAAACCAATGGATTTCAGAGCTTTGGGCAGAGGGCGGAGATGGAGAATTAGGGCCAGGGACTAGAAGTGTAGCTCAGTGGCAGGGCCAAGCCTTGCACATGTGAGGCCCACGTTCTAGCCCTGGCACAAAATCAAAAAGGAGAACTTCCTGTCCTCCCTCCCTCTCCTCCTGGTATTAAAAATTAGAAGAGTGTCGAGGATTCAACCGACTTGAGACGAGAACCGAAAGTCAATGCAAAGCAAGGACAAGTTGGGACTGGCGAGTGTGATAAGCAGAGTTTCGGTTCCAGGGTCTGCGTGGACCTAAGTACAGTCTCACACTTGGACTGGGGGAGGGAGAGAGGGTGAAAGTAAAAGCCTGGGGCACAGCGGCAGTCACGTACCATCAGCGAAGAGCCATGAGCAGGCAGGCTGGGGCGGGGGTGGCTTGAAGGAGTGGGAGGGAAACGGGGGGTGCTGGTGCTGGGAAATTACACTGGTGGAGGGATGGGTGTCGGAACATTGTACGACTGAAATGCAATCATGAAAAATTTTGTAATGCTCTATCATATGATGATTTAATAAAAAAAAAAAAGCAGGAGGTTCTGATGTTTCTAAGGAATCAGCAAAGGAGACAGGCTCAAAGAGGAAAGGGGAGAAGATAGTATAAGTTTCAGAGATGTCAGCAGGCATCTCCTTTTTCTCTGAACTCCTCAAATGATGCAGTTCCTACAGTACTTACTGTGGTGCTCTATTTCCTTAATAATTAATTGCATTAACTTATTACCTATTTTTAAGTTAACATATACATTAGATATCTACTTCTGTAGGGCGCGGAGACATCCAAATCTGTGTCAAGGGACTTTGTCTAGCAAGAAATAAGACTGAAGTCCTGGGGAGGGGAGATGAAAAAAGTGAGTTATGCCTCGAAGAGTGGGAAGAGGCTAAGCCAGCTTAGACAGCAGGTTTAGCAAACACATGTAAGCGTGGAAGCTGCTTTAACTTTGAAAGAAAGGTAGTTTGGCTATTTGAGGGAGGGAAGATGAGAGACGTGCTACTATCAGATTCATCTGAATTGATCTGCTGAAGGTCTTGTATACCATTCCTAAAGAACTGAAATGTTATCTAAAAGATCATGAAAACCAAGTCTTAAGGGGAACGAGTATAAGATAAACAGAGAGGTGAGAAATGGCACATACTTTCCTCCTTGTCTTTTCCCTCGCTGACCTATAAAAATATTAACTTTTGACGAAAGCAGAATTAAATCACCTTTTAGTATTTATGGGGAACAAAGATAAATAGGGCAGGACGTAGACTCAAATATTTAAGTAAGAACATAGGCACACTAATTTTGAAAGCAGTCACAATGGAAAAATACTCTATCAAAAAAGAAACATCATATTTAGAGGAGCTTATGGCTAATTATAATTTAGTAAATTGATTTAATCAAACAGCTATGTATTGAGGGTATAATACGGTCGAAGACGTAACTGCATTTTACCCATTTCGGCTGCTTTGTTAAGAAATATATATTCTGGTGCTGCTCTTCTGCCCAGAATTCAATTTTCATTTTTAATTCAATTTTCACCAGGGCAAAGGGTTAACTTACCTGGTTCCTTCCTTTTCTTCTTAACCTACAGCTTGTAAGTGGTGTTCTGCATTTTCTGTTACTTTGTGGAAATGGCCCCTAATCTTCCAAGGGAGCGCATGGGCTTCCTTCACTGCCGTAAGTCAAACTCTCTAATCCTAGGGTTCAGTGATTCAGACCTCACTTAACATGTGCTACTTTTTTTAAGTAATAAATGATATACCATATTTCTGCTTAATGGAGACTAAACTCGCAAATTTCCTAAACAAAAGCCATTTAAGCCCTGTAAGTAAAACTATTGTGAAAAGAGAAACAATTTCGGTTATTGCTTACAAATTTTCTAAACTAATACCAGATAATCACTAGTAATCAAGTCTCAGTCATCTGAAAACCCCTTTCTATAATCAACTGTAAGAATTAAGTAGCGTCTACGTTTTCCCTATGAGAGATATTCTATCACAAACACCTGAGCTTCATTCCACTGTTGAAGACTCTTGGCCCAAGAACTGTTCTGCTATGTGAATACATAGAATTTTTATTTAATTTTTAACTTATTCCAATTACATGGGCATAAAATTCCAATTATACCCAAATTCTAATTATACCCAATTATTTATGCTATTATGTCTTTTACTGATACAGGGCTCATTTGAGGTGATGAACAATTTTTTCCTAGCATAAAGGTGGGAATACTACGAACTCGTTCTTCTGTCAATGTCTAAGCTGGTTCAAAACTGAGGTAGCAAGTCTAGAAAATACAAAAGGAAAATGCAATACTTTGTGATGAGTAGGGCATAAAAGTGAGTAACTCTACCAACACAAGCCTAGGTTTCAGAGGCGGTGAGACATCATCATGTCCCTGGGCCCTTGGGAAGGTGTCCCAACTCCAGGAGAAGAACTCCTAAGCTGTTCATGTCACTGACCCATGTTAGCAATAGAAAGCCAAGTCACCATTCCTACTAGTTTATATAACTTTTGTGGCTCTGAGATCAGAGCCATTCATCCAATGACAGGCCACCCCCAAACTGAAACAAAACTATAAAAGGACCAGCATTTAGGTTGGCCCTGAAAGGCGAACAGGTTGTGGAGCCAAGCAGCAGGACGGCTCTGGGCAGAGAGAAAGCTGGATGGCCGGTGCCTGGGCACTCTCTGCCTGGACTCCCCCGACAATCTGGGCCAGACATTCTCTGCCAGGCGTGGGGTCACTGCGCAGGGTATTAGAGAATCTAGCAGCAAGCCCAGTCTGTATCCACTAACTGCCAGAGGAATACCTCTTTCTCTCTTGACACAGAGGTGACCAAATGTGTCACGTGGAGCAAAATAACCAAGTCTCTCTCCACCCCGTGAGTACTGATGGAACGCCAAGTCTACAGGAAGGAAAATACCTATATTGAGTGACTATAAGTATGTAAGTTACTTTAGGGAAATGGCCCCTAATCTTCCAAGGGAGTGCGTGGGTTTCCTTCACTGCCACGTAAGTATTTAGTATGTAAGCTGGTTGCTACAAGAAAAGGCAAAATAAAAGGTAAGTCTACGAACAAGTCTGCTAAGTATTCCATATTTTAAAAATGGCTACTAGATTGCAATGGCGGAATACTACGTTTCAACAGGGCTGAAAGGATTAGTTTTAGCATTTGGGGACGAGAGATGGGGCAGTAAGGGCGTGCTGCTGAGGGATTAGGTCGTGTAGTGTGTTGAATGCTACCCAAAGCGACTTGGGGGCAGGATAATAGAATTAGATCAGTCCTACTTTGCGTAAACAGTTTGAACGCTAGCTGTGTATCAAACACTTAAGAATTTTTATGCTGAAATCTTATTAAGTTACATATAATAAACACATTAAACATATGGTAAACACAGTAAAGCTAATTAGAAAATAAAAATATGTGGTACCTGAGGTGGTGGTAGTCTGATCATGTAAGCTTCTACACTTAGACAAATCTGACTTTCTGTAACATTGATGTCTAATGCTAAAAATAAAATATTTAATTGTGAACTTTCTGAAATCATTATTCTATGATATAAAATCAAGTATTTTCATAAGAGAAGAAACGGCACTAACAATTTATTCATATTAGAACACAATTAAGAATGAAAAATCTCTTCACATGTTGATAAAAATAATCATCATAAACCTTTGACAGTCTGAACAGGTGACACCAAGAGACTTCAACAATTCGTGTGTATCTGGTTGGGTGAAGGTCACTGTAGTAAAACAAATTTCCTTCACTTGAGAGGAAATTCAACAAATGCCTTTATGAGTTTGGAATTACTGGAAACCACCTTCACATACAGGGAAGAGGTTGTACATAATGTTTATGAATTCAGCTGTCTTTTAGAAAAAAATGTGCTCAAATATACTGGAAATACAGTTCAGCCCCACCTCTAGGTTTAAATCTTATTAAAATGATTAGTGGTTATCTTGGGAAGAGGGTACCAGCAAAACCTATGAGGAAGCATCAAGTAGATTGGTAATGTTTGGGTCCCTGCTCTGAGAACTAGTTACAAGGCTATATGTTGTCTGCGAAAATCTGATGAGCTATCACAATTTATCAGTTTTTCTGTGGAATGCTAAATAGAGTAAAAACATTTTATTTTCCCTCTGAATAATTATTTTTTATTTGCTGTGAGCCACACCTAGTGGTGCTCAGGAATTACTCCAAGCTCTGCGCTCAGGTAGCATTCCTAAGCAATCTTGAAGGGCCATATGGGGTACCGGGGATGAAAACCAGGTCAGGTACATGCCTGGCAAGTGCCTTACCTGTGTGTTCTCTCTCCAGCCCCCAAATTGTTTCTTTAAAGACTAAAAACTCTATTCTCACAGTAGCTTGGAAATCAACTCACTGGTCCAGAGCTTGACTGCAGTGATTGCCACCATCCAACTTAAAAATAAAACCCAGCATAAGGAGTGCAGAGGGCACATCTTCCAAGTCAGCTCTGGTGGAAGCGTGGATTCTAGGCACCAGCCCAGGATTTCAAGTCTCTACAACAGTGATGAAGTCACCAAGACTGTCACTGAAAGTTACTGAGACTGACACCAATAATGTCTGAGGGCCCAGATTTCACCTGTCTGCTTTGGAATGGGTCTACCAGCAATGTAACCGTGGGTATCAATGGAATGATTTGATTATGTAACACACTGCTATTTTAGATCATGCGTGTCTTTTTAGATAGCCTTTGATTTTTAGGAGAAAAATACCTTGTTCTCAGAAGAAATAGTTTTATTAACAAGAGTACTAAAGAGGTTTTTTTAATGGTATTATCTGGAAACTATAGTCAGTAAATTCCGCATATTCGAAGTTCTTTATTATAACAAAGAAGTCCTTTAAATAAAGAAGTAAAAAGTATAGCTTTTATTCCCATTAAAAGAAAAGAGGTTTTACTTTTATAGATAACACTAACATTTGGAACACTGACCACAAGGTGGTTTCTTGAATGAAACTTTTGTGATAATACATCCGATGAAAATATTTGTTTCATAGGCAATTTTTTTAAGTAGCAGTTGTTAATTTTTTTCCTTTTGGGAGCCTAAATCAGCAGTGTCAAAGCTTTTGCTGGCTCTGTGCTCAGGCGTGTCCTGGAGGGCGCAGGAGATTGTGTGTGGTGTTGGGGATAGAACTAGGATTGGCCACATATAAGTGCCTTAATCCCTGCACTATCTCTTCTGCCCGGATGGTAATATTTTATCTATTACTGACTAGTGCGATTTTATGTACTTACCAATAGCATTTAGCTTGCCCATCTGAGAAAGAAATTCTTTGCCTAAAAAATTCAGAGGATATACCATATTATTATAACTTACAAATCATGCTGAATAGCTCTATGTATGTGAAATTATCAAACCTAAGAAAAATTTTTAAAAAGTGTTTTGAAGGGCCTTTTCAATTAAAAGATTTATGAAGTATCTTTCATAAATAGCTAAATTCTCCCATGAGTATTTCCTGGCATAGAACATCGAGAAAATAAACCACAGTGCCAGAAGTCATTAAAAAGTACCTGTCACGAAGAAGACTGGAGCACTGGTGAAGTAGGATTAGTGTTGGAATATTGTATGCCTAATACACAATCATGAATAACTGTATCCACCCATAAAATAAAAACAAAAATTTAGAAAACAATCATGTCTCAATATGAAATTTTAGGATAGCCTTTTGGTTCTGATGAATATGCTTAGTAACATGTTTATTCCTTTCTTTTTGTGTGTCACACCCAGGGATGCTCAGGGGTCTGTCCTGTCTGTGTACTCAGGAATTATTTCCTGGTGGTACTTGGGAAACATATGGGATGCCGGGGAACGAACCAGGTTGGCAGGTACAAGCCAAGCGCAGACCACTGTACTATCGTCTCAGCCCCGTATTTATTCTTGAAATATTAAGTATTAGCTAATATTTTTTTCATAAACCATCAGCTTAGAGGCAGACTGGTGTGTGGAAGGCAAATGGGGAGAAGGGTAACCCAACCATGAATTTGTAATTTTATAATTTATGACTTTGTAATTCTATGGGGAATGAATAAAATTTTGAAAATCCACCAGTAAGCCTTTGGATACTATCCCTGAGTAAGGAGCAGACTGTGAGGTTGTGGGCTTGCCAAGACCATGCTTTAAAAACTGTCCTCTAGAAATGAACAGACACTTCTCAGAGGAAAACAGGGGATGGCCAGAAGGTACATGAAGACATGCTCAGCATCCCTTACCATCAGAGAAATTCAACCCAAAATGACAATGAAACACTGTCTCACACCAGTGAGAATGGCACGTATCAGAAATAACAGGAACAATGTTTTGGTGGGGATGTGGTGAAAAAGAAACTCTCATCCACTAATGCTGAATGGTACAATGCTGTCTGGTACAATTCCTTTGGAAAACAGTATAAAGAGTTCTCAATGAACTCAGAATTGAACCGCCGCTAAGTCCCAGCACTTCCACGTTTGGGCATCTACCTCCAGGACATAAAACACTCTCTCCAAAGGATATGCACACCATTATGCATTCAGTACAATAGCCGAGATATGGAATCAGCCTAGGTGCCTAGCAACAGATGGAGTATGGTACTTCTAAACAATGAAACACTTTGCAGCTGCAAGGATGATGAAATCATGCAATTTGCTGCAATATGGTTGAAACCAGTAGATATGGTGTTGAGTGAAGTAAACCCTAAGAAAGGCAAACACAGGATGATCTCATGCACCTGTGGTATATAGAATACAAGATGAGGAAAAATATTGTAAAATGTTGTAAAAGCAGGAGGCCTACATCACCCTTGATCTCAGTGTTTAGCGAGAAAGACAGAAAAGGAAAGAAATCAAGTGGGGAAGAGAATGAGAAGTAATGAACAGGCATCAGCACTTCAGTTGTACTGGTGATATGAGTGAGTGGTGCAGTAATATGCCCAAAACAGAGTCCACAACACTGAAAACACGAGATCACGGCTGCGACCACTGAAACTGTAGTGGGCGCTTCAAGGTGACAGGTGAGAATGGGGAGGAAATATGGGAACACTAGTGGAGGCAAGTGGACACTAGTGATGGGACTGGTGCTGAAATACTATTTGCCTAAAACTCAACTATAACTTTTAAATCCTAGTTACAAAAATCGAAAAAATAAAGACCTTAACTGAAAACATAAATACTGTCCTCAAACACTGGAGAAACTGCTCAAGAGGCTGAGTGCACGCTCTGCGTGGGGGAGGCCTAGGGTTGAGCCCTGGAACTGCATGCTTTCCTGAGTACTTCACGAAAGATCCCTGGGCACAAAGCCAGGAGAAGGCCCTAAATATGGGCAAGTACAGAACAAACTCACTCTCCACCCCGAAAATGAAGTGAAAACTATCCTCTAAAGAGGACACAATCTGAAATTAAAAACAGTCGTACGCTTTAGTATGTTTCAGCATGTCCCAAAGACTAAAGCCAAGCATCACCTTGCACCAAGAGATGGCCAGTTCTATTCCAGGATGGAGCAAGCTTCGCCGTGAGAGTAAATGAAAGGCAATTCTGAAGTACCACGGGAAGTACTTTCTGTGTAGTCTCCATCTAAAAACAGTAAGAGGCAACCATGAACAAATTGATAGCAAGCAAGGCACTGTGTTGCAATGTGATCAACCTGGGTTCAATCCCAGGCCTGAGCACTGAGACAGGAATAAGTTCTGAGCACAGTTGGCTCCTCCCACAAAATTACAACCCAAGAACCTGGTTCCTCTGTGTATAAATCTGGTCTCTGGGCTACCATTATAGCTAACGCTATCTAATTCTAAACTTAAATGTTCAAAAGATGGTTCCTTTGAATTGGACTTCTGTCATGTTATAATGGTTAAACTCTACCTGATGATTTGTAATTTAAACTCCAAAATGCATGCTCACCTGGGCCCCACAGGACTATTACAACTCCTACATTATAATATTAAACTTAACTTTGGATTCTGCTCCACACATAAGAAGCCAGACCTGTATAATTCTAGTAAACACTACATACTTTATTACTCTGATAGTGTTCCGGGAACACACTTTATTTTTTTTTTTTTTTGGGTCAACCAGTGGTACTCAGGCTTACTCCTGGCAAGGGTCCCATATAAGGTGCCAAGGATTAAACCAGCTTAGTTGTATGCCTGCTCTAGGTCTCTGCAGACTCGTGCCACATGCCACCTTACCTTAAGTTTATTTAGCACTGTATACTATAATATTTACATTATCGTTAATTATATTTTTGAAATATATGTAGTAAATAAAATTATGCCTGTCAATAAATAATTGCAAAAAAAAACTCAACAAAAATTAAGGTTTTCCCCTTTCTCAACTAAAGGTGCTGTTTGGAAGAACACTATTGGATGTTTTAATCTGCATAGCAATAACCTATACAAAATATATTCTAACTATCATTTAATGACAAAAGATATTGAACAAAAAACAAATAGCATCTGGAATTATTTCTTTAAAAAGGTTACCTTAGCTTCGTATTTTTCAAAATAGGCATCAAGTTTTCCAGATTTATAAAATGAAACCTGTAACCAGAAAAATCACATTAAAAATGACTTACTGAATATATTAGTAAATAAGATAAAGCAACAACAATTTAAAATCACATGACAATGGCAGAGTGTACAGAATCAGGTCCATCAAACAGTTTTTATGTGGAGACGACAGTAATGACCATTGCTACAGAAATAGAATCTGTGGGTATATTCTAAAAGTGACAAATCCAGAAGAGAACAATTATTTTCCCATATTTAAGTTTTCTTAATATTTAAGTTTTCTTAATATACAAGCTCTTTAAAATTAATAATTAAATGGATTTGGGGGCTTGAGTGATAGTACAGCAGGTAGGGCGTTTGCCTTGCACACGGGTGACCCATACAGTTTCCTGACCACATGGCCCTCAACACCTTCAGGTGTGGCTCTGGTGACCCCCCAAGTCCTTCAAGCTCAGCACACCCAAAGTGGCCTTAGCCATTCAAAATAAACTATATTCAGGAGAAGATAAAAGATGAACACACAATCATATAGCCTGAAATAAAAAATTCTGACATCGTATTAGTGCTATTAACAGAAAAAATTGTAAATAAAATCTCCAAATTGAAAAATGATGATCTGAGTTTTTAAAAACGAGGAAATCTTGAAATGACAAATTTCTTCATTTAATTAAATACAATTCTACATAGTATAAGGATTAGCCATTTCTTACTATTACAAAAAACTTCCTTGGGGGCCACACCCATTGTTCTTCGAGCTCTACAATGAGGGGGGGTCAATCCTAGCGATGCTCAGGGACCATACGTGGTACTTGACTTGAACCCAGGTGCACCAACACGCCCAGGAAGCACTTTAACTGGAACTACCTCTAGCCTTGTTCTTCCTCGATTAACAAACTGTGCTGTATTTAATTCATCAACAGTCTTTCCCTTAGTATCTGTGATGAAGAACACTAAACATCAGAAACACAAATACGGATTTTAAGTAGCAGGTCGATAAAAATCAACTGTACATGAATGAATCAAACCCCAACACAGAGCCACGCCAGGGTCACAGCCATTTCAGAGTGCCTGCCTTGCATGCATGAGGTCCTGCGCTGGAGCCCTGGCACCACAAAACCAAACAAAACCCCACAATTTATTGTGATCTATCGTTTACAAATAATCTTCAGTTTGCTATAATAATGGAAGTCCTTAATACTGCCTCCAGTAATAATCTTACTTAATAACAAGTTTTTACACTAACCGCCATCACTATCCAAATTTCACTCAATATTCCAGGCACAGGCGCTATCAGAATATCTTGGTACAGAAACAGCAATTGCCTGTGGAGAAGAAACACGTTCATTTAAGTACACTTGCGTACTATTTTTACTTTATTGCTACATTTTAAAATGCAATTCTTTAATTCACATCACAAACTTGTTTCCTTTAGCCAAGGACTGGCTTCCCTCTCTCCCCCTTCGCAATGTATGCTGGACACGCGCTAATCAGTTTCTCAGCTTTCTTATTTTTAACCTGTGAACATTTCAAATATGAAGAGCAGCAAAATAGAAACAGAATATGAACAGCACTGAAGTCTGAAGTGTAGACATACAGAAATCTAAAGTTCTGTAAAGAACTCAATTCTTTTGACTGTTTCTTACCTTTTTCTTATTTTCATGTGGTTTCTTGTTTTGGGAATCAACAAAAACCTGCACTCAGGGCTTACTCTGCTGGGTCTGCTCAGGGATCGCTCCTGGCAGTGCTCCTGGCAATGCCAGTTTCGTGTAAGGTAAGTGCCTTACCGGCTGTAACTGTTTTTAAGCGGTAGGTAGCTGGGAAACGCTGGAGGTAAGAGTCCAAGGCTCAACAGTGATGTTATCAACTACCTCAGTTTTGTAACTGATTAAATTTCCTTGAAAAAGGAGATTCTTTCTAAGCTGGAATGAAATGGCTAGGGCATTCTCTGACAAAACAATAAAATAAACTTCAAAAATAATTCATCATACTTTAAATTAACAACAACTTTGTTTCAAAGTCAAGGAAACATGGGGGAAACACAGAACGGGTTGTCAAGGACAACTTTTAACAGGTATGAGCCTGCACGTGTCAAGTTATACCCAGAGAAGGGAGGCGGATTTCACGCGCTCTATGGGTAGCAGGCCTGTTTTGGTCTTGGAGTTCTCTGCTCCCTCTGTTCCAGCCTCTCTCTGGCAATTTCTAGAAGGGCAATTCAAGATAACTGCTCTGGGCACTGCCCTCTTCAACTTGAGGGCAAACAGATGGAAATCTTGCTTAACGTTTTCTACCAATTTGTTTCCCAAAGGGGCAAAGGCAGACGCTCAAATGGCTATCAGAAGACACTGCATGAAGGACACAGACTCCGGCATGGATTTGGGTGGGAAAATACAGAAAGGAAAGAAAGCACATTTTCTACACAGGAGAGAGATGGAACCTCCCCAAGTGTGTCTTCCTTTTATTCTGACCCCGAGCAATCTCAAGAAAATCGGGTACTGAGAGCCAGCCTTGTCAGCTATTCTCAAAGTCCTTTCAAGGGCCTCAAATGATTTAAAGACTAATACGTGGAAGATTCTAAATAATCCTGAAGTTTTATATCATAGAATTCAGTTATTTTTAAGGTATTTCTTGGAGAAATGCTCTTCAGTGTTAACTTGAAAATTAAGAAACTGTACTCGTTCCACTGAGGATTTTTTGTTTTGGGGACAAACTTCATGTGTGTCCCAAATTGCATTCTTAGCAATGCTCAGAGCTGAGTTCGGGCTCTGTGCTCAGGGGTCACATGCAAGGTATGTGCCCAACCCACTGTAATGCCTCTCCAGTCCCTCGTTTGACTATTTAAATCCCTCCATACATGTATTTCACTCATGTGCGGCTAGAACAAAATGGAACTTTTTAATTTTAAAATGACATACCGATGTTTGATTCAAAGAAGATATTTCTATAACAGCTCATACATGCCTCGAAACAGAAGCAAAAACAGAATTTACCTGCACAGCTTTAGCACTTTACTCCAAATCTCAGGCTCTCCTATGCCATTCTTCAGTGTTATCCTGGTGGCACATAGTTTGTGTAAATCCGGAACAGTGATGAAGAACAACGACTGCTGCTTAGGAACATTCATATTCCCGCTGGTGGGATGCCCGGGCACTCAGACCTTTGAAAACAATCAGGAATAAAGTGGCAAAAAACTACTAGGGTACGCACATCAACCTATCATAAAATATTTGCTCTTGCATCAGAAGTGGATAATAAGTCATCGACATTTCGTCTCTGAGAAATTCTAGTAACAATCCAATGTGAGTTGAGTATTTCCTTTTGCTATATTCACAGAATTATGAAGCCATCACTACATAGTTGAGAACACTTTCATAACATCCCCAAATATTTTTTTTGTTGCTTTTTTGGGTCAAACCCGGGTTACAGGGGTTACTCCTGCACAGGGGTTACTCCTGGCTCTGCACTCAGGAATTACCCCGGGTGGTGCTCAGGGGACCATATGGGATGCTGGGAATCGAACCTGGGTTGGCCGCGTGCAAGGCAAACACTCTCCCCGCTGTGCTATCGCTCCAGCCCCCCCAATTATTTTTAGAACTTTAGAGTTCTTTTCCATTTTGACTAACGTACTGTGAGTTACAATAATGTTAATGATAATTTCATGCATACATGCTTGCTATTCTCCATGAATGTCCAGGGATCCCTCCCACCCCCCTGCCCTCGGGGAAGCTCAGTTCTGTAGACCAACTCACCAATTCTGTTGCCTTTGGCCGTCTTTTGTTTCTTTCTACCCCTGTATGACGGGTATCATTCTGCCACCTATCCCTTTCCGTTTGAGGTCACTCTACATATGACACTCTAGTTTTATCAATACAGCAGCAAATTGAACAATTTTATCTTTTCTTCTGAGTAACATTCCATTGTGTGTATATGAGTTTCTTTTTCTACTCTACTGTTCTTTGACACTCAAGTTTCCAGACTTTGGCTATTGTGAAAACAACAGCGATAATTGTGTTTTGGGTCTTTGGGGGCAGATGCTAAGAAGTGGAATTTTTAGATCACACCCATTTTAGTTTCTTGAGGTGTCCATACTACTTTCCAAAGGGGCTCAACCAGTTGACATTCCCGCCAGCAGAGAATGAGGGTCCCCCCCCCACATATTCATAGAAGCACTGGTTGTTCCTTTTATATAAAAAGTGTCACTGGTGTGAGAGATAGCATCTCATTCTTGTTTTGATGTGCACTCCCTGTTCTTTCATCACTGTCACTGTCCTCCCGTTGTTCATTGATTTGCTTGAGTGGGCACCAGTAATGCCGCACAACAAGTTGTGAGACTTATTGTTACTGTGTTTGGCATATGGAATACGTCAGGGGTAGACTGCCAGGCTTTGCCAAGTGGGCGAGATACCCTCTTTCCCTGTATGTCTTCTTTCAAAAGTGCCTGTTCAGGTTAGGATATGTGGGGGGTGGGGGGAAGGGAGGGAGGAGTCCTCGGGGGAGAGAACTGGTGATGGGTGTGGTATTGGAATTAAGAATTCATCAACAGCATTTCAAACCACAAAACCTCAATCAATAAACTAAAAAATTATGAAGTGTTCATATCTTCTCCCCACTTTTTGATGGGCTTGCTTTTGTTAAGTCTTACAAAAAACTACGTACTTTGTATATTAACCCTGTGTCAGAGCAAGTGGTGAGAAAACATTTTCTCCCTGTCTTTGGGGTGTCTTTTTATCTTATTTATTTGTGATACAGAAACTACTATTTATATCTTTGCTTCCATTTGCTTGGTGAATGGCACTAAACCATTTAAAGACGCCTCTGGAGTCAACGCCACAAAGAGCTTTGACTACTTTTTTCTCAGTATAATTTATGGTTTCTAGTTTGATAGTGTGACCTTCAATCCATTTTGGTTCCCCCTCCTCCCCCAAGGGAGAGCATGAACGCAGCCCCGAACTACCATAAATCATGCAAACGAAATTTCCCACCTTTGGGGAAATTGCAGGAGTCAGCACATCTGCAGTACAATGGATAAGCCTTGCCCTAGGAAGACCACCTTCATGACCATGGTATCTCCCCTGCCAGTAAGAATGAGATCTAACGTTTAATATTCCAACACCATTACACCTACCCACCACCACATTTCAAATGTCTTCTCCACAACCCCCAAAGCAGGACTTAAATAATTTTACATTGCTCTTTACAAATAATCCACTAAAAATAGTTCAAAAAATTTTTAAAGTATGTGAAGATTGTTTTTTTTTCACCCCGGGGGGGGCCATTAAGTCCTGGTATAAGAATGAGACTCATGTGGCTGCAAATGTGGCTGCGCACTCCAGGAATTTGAAAATTTTAAATATACAGCTAAGGTTGATTTCTAAAAAACCTGGATGGTGCCTTTGGGGTCCAGAGGCATATCTGTGGCCTATCATTCTGTGACGCTCTTCCTCTTCCGAGAGTATGTGATCTTTAATCCATTTTGAATTAAACAGTATTTTGAATACTGACAAACCTGGAGTACATCAGATTGGATGGGATGTAACGTGGAAGGCGTCTAATCTCCATCAACACAATAGCAACACTGAAGGCTTAAGCTGGAACATCTTCCTTTGTTATACAAAGGCTTAATAGCTCTATGGTGAGACACATAATCTCTTTCTCCCAAGAAAACACTTTTTGATGTTCTTTAGAAAATTCTAACGAGCAATATAAAAAAAAATTAAGGGCCCGCTGCAGAGGCAGGCTCAAAGGGGTGGCTGGGAAAACTGGAGATAATGGTGGTGGGAAGGAGCAACGGTGGTAGAATTTGTGCTGGCATATTGAATACCTGCCAAATTATGCCCAATGCCAGTAACAATGACGGGTCTCATTCCCCTAAAGAGCCTTGAATATAATCTCAGGGCTAGGATGGAGGAGACGTTGCTGGGGCCTGCTCGAGGCAATTGACGAATAACAGGATCATTTGTGATTGATTGCGATTGAGTACCTGCAACAAATCGTCATGACCAACTTTGTAAACCCCGGTGTTCAGATACAAAGGGCAAATAAAAATTTAGAAAACCATAAATGCGACGTCTCTTGGGGACACCTTTCCCAAATGTGAACCTGTGGCAACTCACAGGCACACCTTTCAGGTATTGGGTACGGGCAGACTCGGGTACGACAGGACAGACCGCGGAGCCACATCAGGGAACTCAAGCTCTGCTGCTGCTGCTGGAATTACAGCCCTCCCGGGAAGACAGGCTCAAAGTACCTTAACGTAACTTCGATTCTGGGCGCTGGGGCCATACCTCGTGGTGCCCTTTGGCCCAGCAGTGCTGGGGAACCGGACCGGAAGTCGCAAGCGTGAAACGCACGTGCGGTGCTCCCGCCAGCCCTTGAGCCCCGGGTCAGCTCCTCCCCTTCCTGGTGTGCATAAAGGGCTCCGATGGGCAACGCCCCACCCGAGGGATCCAGAGCGGCCGCAGCCTGCCGTGTGCCCCGCCGAGTCCTGGGGGAAGTGGCAGTGCCCACAGCCCCCGAGACCGGCTCACTGGACCGGGAGGCGTCCTGGACGGCCCATCCCGAGCACGGTCAGGCCAGCCCCAGGGCGGGGCCGGGGCACTGCCGGGGGCGCCCTCCACCCCCCCCAACACCCCGCCCCTCGCACACCCCGGCCCAGCCACGCCCAGACGCTGCGGGCCACGCCCACCGAGACCTGGGGGCGGGCCGCCTGGCCTCGCCGCCAATCACCGCCGTGCCCAAGCCTCGCGAGATGCCCGCGCGAGATCTCCGTCCGCTCCGTCCAATCGGGCCAGGCCGAACCCGCGGATCCTTCTAGAATCCCCCAGAACGCTCAGCGCGAATATCCGGGGACGGCGCGGGCGACTCGCCCCAGGCGGGGCTGAGCTGGCGGCTGCTCCGGCTCCCACGGAGTCCTGGCGCGGAACGCGCGTGGCCGAGAGCCAGGGGGTTCCCCGACGGCCAGTTCCGACCCATCCACACCGCTGGGCCCAGGGGCTTCCCGGCTCGGTCTGGGCTGGCAGGGCCCCCCGCTCCACAGAACACGCACGGCCCGAGAGCTAGAAGGTTCTCCGACGGCCCGGTTCCGACCCACACCCCCGCCCCCCGCCAGGCCCACGGGCTCCCAGCTGGCAGGGAACCGGGTCGGGTCAGGCCAGGGAGCGAGACGGCGCCCCCCCAGGGGCTGCAGCGCCCACGGAGCCGGGGTGCCCGCACGCCCCGAGAACCAGCGGGTTCACCCACGGCCGGTTCCGACCCATCCGCACCGCAAGGGGAGCCCCGCGGGCGCGGCGTTCGCAGGACGGGGTGAGGCGATGCCCTGCCCACCCGAAGGGGCCGAGGGACCCGGCCGCCGCCCCTGCCACCCCGCCCCGCGGCGCCGGCCCACCCACCTCTCGGCTCGCTCAGGGAACGCGGCCTCCTGGCCCAGCCGCCGGCCCGCGACGCGCCTCCTCCGCGGCTCCCGGCTTCTGGCTCGGCCGGCCGCATGCTCCGCTATATATGGAGGCGCCCCACTCCCAGCATGCACCGCGGCGCCACGTGCGAGCCCCCAGCATGCACCGCGGCGCCACGTGCGAGCCCGCACTCTCAAGATGCACCACCGGGCCATGTGCGAGCCGCTCGCCCGTGGTCCCAGCGTGCACCGCACTATATGTAGCCCCCCCCTTGGCTCCCGGCATGCACCGTAGCTCCACGTGCGAGTCTCCCAACCCCCCCAATACTCCCAACATACTGTGCTCCCAGCATGCACTGCAACAACACGTGCGAGCCCGTGCTCCCAGCATGCACTGCAGCGCCACGTGCAAAGATTTCCCCCACTCCTCCCCCACTCCCAGCATGCACCGCAGTGCCACGTCTGAGCCCGCGCTCCCAGCATGCACGGCGGCTCCACATGCGATTCCCTCTCCCCTCCCCCCTGCTCCCAGCAGACACTGTGCTCCCAGCATGCATCGCAGCTCCACGTGCAATTCCTTCTCTCCTCCTCCCCCCCCCAAGCCCAGCACACGCCGCAGTGCCACGTGCGAGCCCGCGCTCCCAGCATGCACGGCGGCTCCACATGCGATTCCTTCTCCCCTCCCCCCTGCTCCCAGCAGACACTGTGCTCCCAGCATGCATCGCAGCTCCACGTGCAATTCCTTCTCTCCTCCTCCCCCCCCCCCAAGCCCAGCACACGCCGCAGTGCCACGTGCGAGCCCGCGCTCCCAGCATGCACCACAGCAGCACGGCCTGCGATTCCCTCTCCCCTCCCCCCCGCTCCCAGCATACACTGCGCTCCCAGCATGCACCGCAGCACCATGTGCGATTCCCTCCAGCCCTTCCCCTCCCCCCTCCCAGCGTACTCTGTACTTCCGGCACGCACCGCTCGCCACGTGTGAGCTGCGCTCCCAGGATGCACTGCGCCTGCAGCATCCCAAGCGCACACACCGCCGGGGTGGGCGGGGCCTCGCCGTGTCACGTGCCCTGCAGTATCACGTGCCCCTGGCTGCTGCACGCGCAGAGCTGCACTGCTTCCCAGGGTCCCCGCGCCAGCAGGTCCATCGCCCCGCGTACACGTTGAGGGGTGCCCGTTCTCTGCCTGCCCCCGGCGTAGTCAGTCCAGATGCTGACTGGCGCCCCAGCGTCCAGCGGGCACCGCCAGGCCCGGAGCCCCTGCCCGCAGCACCCCGTACGCGCTCAACCTCTGGACCCGTGCACGAGCTTGCCACAGCCTCCAATGACTTCTTTTTTTTTTATATATTTAACATTTGTGGTTTTGATGTTCATAGTTACTGCACTGCACCACCAGAAAAATGCCCAGGACTCTCCATCAGCTGTCTTCATGTTACTCCTCATCTGTCCCTTCATTACTTTCATATCATCACGACCTGTTTGGTGACCTGTTTTTAATAAAAGGTCAGACAGACCTCCTATTCTCCTGCTTTGTCTCACCGTGTAGTAAGATAAGTGAGATGCGATATTTGTCATTCTCTCTTTACCTTAGCTCAGCATTTTGCCCTCAAAGTTTCATCCACGTTACAGTGAATGAACTCTAGGATTTGATCTTTCCTCATAGCTACACAAACTCATTTATATATGTACATTTATGTATATATTAAATGTGACTTCTTGGGGCTGGAGCCATAGCACAGTGGGTAGGGCATTTGTCTTGCACACGGCCAACCTGGGTTCATTCCCAGCATCCCGTATGGTCCCCTGAGCACTGCCAGGGGTAATTCCTGAGCGCAGAGCCAGGAGGAACCCCTGTGCATTGCTGGATGTGACCCAAAAAGCAAAAAAAAAAAAATATGACATCTTTACCCACTCATCTTTCCTGCAACATTTGGGTTGTTTTCATACTCTTGTCTATTGATTGTTCTAAGAGCTGCAGTGAACACAGTCAGATTTCTTTTCAAATCAGTGTTTTTGTGTTTGGGGCATAGATGCCAAGACTTGGGATCTTTGGGTCCTATGAAAGCTCTATTCTAAACTTTTTTGAGGAGTGCACTTCCAGCAGCAATGAGTGAGGGTCCCTTCCTCACAATACCCCTGCCATACTGGCTGTTTTCACTCTATGATATGAGACATTTCCACTGGTGTGAGATGATACTTCATTGTCATTTTGACGAGTTTCCCTGAAAACAGGTAATGATGAACCATTTTTCATGTGCCTACTCGTCAACCATGTGGCCCCTTCGGGTGATCTCCTCTACCCATTTTTTTTATGGACTTACTGGCTTTTTTTGTACAGAGCTTTATGACTGCATTATATATTTTAGATATTAACCCTGTATCTGATGCTTGAGTGCAGATATCTTCTCCCTTTCAGTATAGTGTCATTTAATTTTGAACTTGTTATTTTGACCATTTATTTATTTATTTGCTTTTTGGGTCAGGGGTTACTCCTGGTTCTGCGCTCAGGAATTACCCCTGGCAGTGCTCAGGGGACCATATGGGATGCTAGGAATCAAACCTGGGTCGGCCGCGTGCAAGGCAAACACCCTACCCCCTGTGCTGTTGCTCCAGCACCAACCAGTTATTTATTTGTTAATCTTGCCAATGGAGTCAAATTACAGAAGACACCTCTGAAATCCATATGCTGGAGAGTTTTGCCAAATTTTCCTCGTGTGTTATTCATTCAGGTCTAACATTGATATATATAATTCGGTTTTAATTAACCTTTGTGTATGGAGTGAGGTACAGATCCAGTTTGTTTTCTTTTCTTTTTTTTTTCATATATATGTTTTCCCCCATCATTTATTGAAGATTTTTTCTTGATCCATTCCATGCATCTAGCAAACTGCTCATAAATGAATTGCTCAAAGATCTTTATGACCAATTATCTCTGGGCTCTCAATTCTGGTTTATCTCTGGGTTCTCAATTTTGTTCCAGGTCTGTGAGTCTGTGAGTCTGTTCAATACCACACAGTTTTGATTGCTATAGTTTTGTACCATATTTTAAAGTCAGAAAATATAGTACTTCCCATCTCTTTTCTCAAAGTAGCTTTGGCATACAGGAAGTTTTATACTTTTATACAAAGTTTAAAAAGTTTAGACCTCTTATTTTCTAATTCGCTCTCAGAGAACCCGGCAGTCTACTGAGAGTATCACGCCTGCATATATGCCTGACTGCGAACACATGTAAACGTGATTAGAATCTGCCCCCAAAGCTTCCATCCCTCTCGGAGAGCCTGGCAAGCTACTGAGAGTGTCCCACCTGCACGGCAAAGGAGCCTGGCAAGCTCCCCGTGGCATACTCCATATGCCAAAAACAGTAACTGTTGGGTAACATTGCTTTGTCCTTCAAGAAGTTTAGGTTTAATCTGGTTACACCCATCACGGTGCTCCTGAAGCACTTCCACTTCCATTGTGTTTATCTGTAAACAATCTTACCTATGCTCTCCCACCCAGTTAATCAGCTTTCCCCTTAATCAGACTTTGTTAATTTGTAAGATCAGTTTCCCAGAAATTTATGATTTTATATTTATGAGTGAAATATTGCCTTTCTCCTCTCCCTGTGCCTTATGAACAGTTTACTTTAAAGTAATATCCTTTTTGTATAGATACAGAAAGACCGTTAACATTATGCTTTGTAATTTAGGATTTGATTGGCCTTGAATATTATTCACTCCCGGGCATCATCTTTCTCGACTTAAGCCTCAGTTGCCCATAGTTCCTAACACCCCAAAAGCAGGGTCCCGACGAGGGACTGAATGGACCCAGGGCAAGCGGTGAGCTACCCTGGCAGCGAAATGGGCCAGGCCAAAGTGCCACGATTCTTAACTATAAGTTAAGAGTTTGATCATGGACAAATGCTGTCATGATCCAAGGTAACGACAAGACTAGGATCCTGCTAGGGGTGGGAAAGACTATCTGGCCTGAGCACCGTAGTCTGAGATCGAGATGGCCCTAGGAGAGCAATTCTATAAGTTTAAGATATTTCTTACTGTATCCATACAAAATGATTTATATAATATTTTATATGCTTGTCGGACAAGGAGAGGAGAGGCACACCCATGGAATTCTGCTCTAGGGTGGGTCCTCCTGCTGAGGAAGGATCGTCCTAGGAGCGGTCTTCCCTGAGGCTAAGATTTCTACCCCTGTTCATCTCCACCCCTATTGATTGTGACCACACCTATGTGTAATTGTTCCCCCAATTCCTCAGGAGAGAGGATTTAACTGTACTGTAGGAGTGAGACAGGGGCAGAAGAAGGAAGAAGAGAGTTCAGAGAGGGGCAGAAGGAAGAAGCAGAAGTTCAGAGAGGATCAGAAGGAAGAGGAGGATGAAGGGGGATGGGGAAGGAGAATGAAGTAGCATGGGAGCAGAGACAGGAGAGACGAGGAGAAACAGAGAGAGATGGGAGCAGAGAGAGAGAGAGAGAGACAAGGGGAGAAGAGGAAAGAATCAGAATAAACTACGACTAATACCAACCAGCCTGGCCCTCGTTCCTTCCCCCGCCTGACCATCGCCATCGACCTCTCCGGGGTGGTAGAAGGGTGAGACTACCGAACGCGGGTGGCGGGAGAGATAGAGCCGCCGCCGTGTGGGTGCCGCGCGCCCCCAATTTGTGTGAGTTTACACAGTAACAACGATAGTCATCATTCTCCTGACCCTGAAGGAGCCCCCAATATGTCATCGGGCTACACTAGCATGTGACAGGGATGAATGGAGATGTTACTGGGCCCGCTCGAGCAAATCAATGATCAATGGGGTGATAGTGATACAAAGTTTAGAAGAGTTTGTTCTAAGTACTTCAGGAATGTCATCAGAATTTTGATAGGAATTTAAAATTGAATTTGTAGACTGCTTTGAGTAGGATGATCATTCTGGACAATATTAATTCTAATCCACAAATGTGGATATTTTCCTATTCCTTCGTGTCCCTTGTATTTCTGTCAATAAAGACCTGTAGTTGATTTATGTACATATAACATGCTTTGTAAAATTGGTTCTAGGCATTTGATGTTTTGGACACTTTTAAATGGGACTGCTTTTTAATTTTTTTCTTTCCTGGTTTTCTGTTTTTATATAGAAATACAATAGAGATTTGTGTATTGATTTTTTCCCCTGCTCCTTTGCTGTACTGGTCTGTTGTTCCTTAGATTTTTTTTTAAGAGTCTTACATGCTTTTTATGATGTCATCTGCAAATGGTTTAACTTCTATTCCAATGTGGATCCCTTCGATTTTTTTTTTCTTGCCAATCTCTATGGTTAGGACTTCCAAAACTGTACTGAATAACAGAGGAGAAAGTGGAACAAAACTTCACAAATCACTACACTGACAGTGTGTGTTTGACATGGAAGAGAGAGAAAGAACAACAGCTGGAATGCTCGGGGAAATGGTTTCTTGCTGGTCCCTATTCCCTGTTCCCGGGGAGGCTGTAATCAGGGAGAGGAGGGAACGTGGGGTTCACAGGGCACCTCCTCTCAAAGCCTTCTGCACCCAGGGTGACCTGCCTGTGCAACGTATTGTGTAATTCTTCTTGGAACGAATTACCAGAACAGAAGAGAACACAGCAAACATCAGAGGCCTTTCTTCGATGCTGTTTCTCCTTCACCTGCCCTTCTCAGACTTGCAAAACTTCCCAGAAGGGCCCATCTGGGGAAATGCTCCTCCAGGTGCGTTTCCCACCGACTGTGCAGGGTTTATCCTAATCACAGCACTACCGAGATGTGATACTGTTAGGACTAGTAATACTGTCAATGCACGAAACGGGAGCGTTTGCTTTGCATGCGGCCGCCTGGGCTCCGTCCCGGGCCTCCCATAGGGTCCCCAAGCCCCGCCGGGCGCAGAGCCAGGAGCAGCCCCTGAGCATCACTGGGCGTGACCCAGAAAGAAAAAACAGAACACACAGTACCACCAAGAAGCACCAATCAGGGGTCAGCAGGAGCAAGGAGGCGCTTTTGCCTCTTACGCAGCCACTTTCCCTACTGCTCCTGCCTTGGCTGTGCGCGGGGTGGGGCGCACACCCCACCCGACAGCGCCCAGGGGTGTCCAGCCCGGGTCCAGGAGCTGGACTCTCCGCGGGCCTGAGAGCCCACCGCCCCTTCGGACTACGCCCGGGACTCGCAGCCCGGCTCCCTCGGTCGCACAACCTCGTCCAGGCCTGGCCGACGTGACGGCGAAATCCGGGCGGCAGCCCCCAGCGCGGCGCGGGACCCTGCCCCGGCCCCCTCGCACCTCCCTCGCGGGGCGACGTCAGCGAAGCCCCGCCCCGCCCCGCCCCGCCCCGCCCCGTAGGCCCGAGGGGGCGTGACGGGCGTCCGCAGGACCCAATCAGCCCGCGGCCGCGGGGCGGGGCGCGCGGGGATTGGCGGAGGGTGACAGCCCGGGGCGGGGCTTCGGAGTGACAGGGCTCCCGGCCAATCGCCGGCGGCGTGCGGCGGGCCGCCCCGTCCGGGCTCGGCCGCCCCGCGCGCCCCGCAGGTTCCCGGCCCGCGGCTCGGACGCGCGCTCCGTTCCGCTCCGCTCCGCTCGGCTGCGCCCGGCTCGGCTGCTCTGTGTGCGGGGCTCGGCTCGCTGCGCGGCGACATGGCCGAGAAGTCGGACAAGGGCGTCACGTACTACCGGCTGGAGGAGATCCAGAAGCACAACCACAGCAAGAGCACCTGGCTGATCCTGCACCACAAGGTGTACGACCTCACCAAGTTCCTGGAGGAGGTGAGCGCGCCGCGGGGGCCCTCGGCCGAAGGACGCACCTGCGCCCTCGCGCGCCCGGGCACCGCGCACCCGCACGCCCGGACACCGGGACACCTGCGCACCTGCGCCCTCGCACACCCAGGCACCGCGCATCCGCACACCCGCACACCCAGACACCCGCACACCTGGACACCCGCGCACCTGCACACCCGGGCACCGTGCACCTGGACACCCGCACACCCGGACACCCACGCACCCGCGCACCCGCACATCCGACACCCGCGTGAGCGCGCCTCCCCACACACCCACACACCTGCGCACCCGCGCGCTCGCACACCTGCGCACCTGCGCACCTACGCACCCGCACACCTGCGTGAGCGCACGTCCCCGCGCAACCGCACGCCCGCACACCTGCACGCCTACGCATCCGCGCACTCGCACACCTGCGGGCCACCCACCCACCCACCTGCCGGGCGGGCTGCTCCGGGGGTCCTGCGGGACTCCGTGTGCGGGAGGGCGCGCTCCAGCCCTCGGCGGCACAGAGGGGGCAGCCCCTGGGTTCTGGGTTGGCACAGGAGCGAGGTGGGTGGGGGGCGTCTCCATCCCGGTTGCCCAGAGCGAATGCATACTAGGAGCCAGCCCGGCCCCCCACCCCCGCCCCGAGTGCCAGTGCCGAGGGGTCCCAGCACAGGGGTCCGGCTTGCAACTTCGGGCCCATCCCACACCTCCCCCGGCACAGTGCTCCCTGGTGAGCGCGGCCCGGGAGCCGCCGCGGGGCCCCGGGGACCAAGTGTGGGTCTTTAGGAAGACGGAGGGACTGAGGAGTCCACACTGCCGGGGGTCCAGCAGAATCCGTAGGTGCTTTCGGCGGCTTTGTCCAGTGAACTTTAGTGGGGAGTCTGACACTTTCCTGCGTCTTGGCGGTGAATGCCAAGGGCCTCCTTCCCTTTTGCAGGGGTTGGGCCGCACCCACTTGTGCCCAGGGTTCCTGGCAGCTCGGTGCCGGGATTTGCTCCCTGCTCTGCACGCTCCGTGCAAAGCATGCGCCCCAGCCTGCCGGGCGGTCTTCCAGACCCTTCCATACTTCGTTAAAGGCCTTTTCTTTACCACCTCTGGCTTGTTCCTGCGCGTTGTGTAACTCGCTGTGGGGGAGCCGTAATCATAAACCTGACCGCAATACTGAACCCTCCTTGATCTCCCGGCCGGGAGTGAAGGAGACTGCCCAGACCGGGATTCTTCGGTGGTGGTGCGAGAGAAAAATGGACATAGGCGCCTGGTCTTAGCTGGACCCCAGTTCAAGTTAGGGGGGGCTTTTGAGTTTGCTTATTTTCGAAACCCGTTTCAAAATAGTCGGATAGTTGGCATTAATATTTACTTGTAAAGCACTGTGCTGTCGTCTTTCGATGAAGACTAAAGTGTCCCGACTTCATGAGGGGGGCTTTGGGCTTTGCAGCAGCGGTTGGATCTCAGCTGTCCTGGCTCTCTGCTAAATGCAGAACCTCTTCGCCATTAGATTTTCTTTAACTGTCCTGCGTCCTGTCACCGGGTCTTAGACACAGCAGGTGTGCACTGCAGCTGTTCTCGCCTTCCTTCCACCAGATGTCAGCACCCCCTCCTCCAGCCGGGACAATAAAAAAAAAAAATCTCCAGATATTGCTCAATGTCCCCTGGGGTCAGAGTCCTTCGGAGGTGAATCCTGGCCTCTCCCGCACAAAGCTTTGAAGGGCCGGCTGGTTGGGTTTCATTCTTCTGAAGCCTGTTCTGGCAAGATAGGCAAAAGGGGTAAGAGCAGACGACACGTTCCTACTTTCTTTCTGGCTCCCAGTTTGAAAATGTTCCCTCTGTAGGGGTCCCAGCAGATGCCTTTCAAAGGCAGAGAGATGCCCACGTTTTTCACAGTTGCTTATCACCGACCCTTAAGGCATGCATTTCCGGTGGTGAGAAATCAAAAGTGTGCTCCCTGGGGCTTGGTGAGAGGCTCCTTGTTGCCCCCTCCGCTCTGGACCACTGGCCAGGCCCTTCTGCGCAGCCCACCTGGGTCTGCTGAGCCACTGGCCTGCACGGAGAGGAAGGCGTGTGGGCTCTCTCTCCACTTCCTTCCTTGGGAGGAGGCAGGAGCCGCAGGAAAAGGTGCTGGTAACGGCAGTCCTGGCCTCAGGGCTGGACTGTGGGCCTGAGGGAGTGGGACTCTGTGTCCTGAGTGAACCTCCAGCCTCGGGTCAGCAGTGCAGCCACCGTGGGCAGGTGGGGCAGGGCAGGAGAGGCCGAGAGGATGGTGGACTGCTTGGAGGAGGAAGCTGGGATACAGCTGGCCATTGACTGCCGTCTTCCTGGGGCCAACTGTTCACTGGGGGCCCGCTTCCTGGGCAGACCCCCGTTTTCCCTTCCACCTTGACTGCCTCTGGGTTCTAGATGCTTCTGAGGATTTCCTGCAGGTAGCCCCCTACATCTTCGAGACTCTCCTCATTCCAAGATCCACAGGTGTGGGCCGTGGGGTTCTTCTCAGGGCCCTCCTGGGAATTCAGTGGCACAGGCTGTTTCCTCACCAGCGAAAGGAACCCACGAACTCTGGCTCACTCCCTGCTTCCCTGCCTTTTCCTTCCCTCCTTCCTTTAAAAGCTCCAGCAACTCACGGAGCTTCGCGTGTTCAGCAGCAAGAGCTTTTTCTTTTCCCTGACTTACCCAACCATGAACAAAGAAGCGTCCTTTCTGAGGTTTTCTTCCTGCCTCTGGAGTGGATTTTCAGTCATTTTTTTGTGTGCTTAGAGGAGGCACTCACCCACCGGGCAAAGCGACTTTCACGGCTTCTTTCAGAAAAGCGGAGCTGTCTCCGCGTGTCTGTATTGGCGTGGGCGGGAATGGGCTCTCAAGTGATGGACCAAGGGGTCCCCAAGTACCCTGTGCCCCCTGCAGTAGAATAGGAGAGCACTGCTATTCGCAGCAAGAGAGGATGGGAAAATGCTGGTGACAGTCCCCGCTCTTGCAAGGAGGAGGGATGTCGCCCGCCCCCACGGGCACGGCTGTGTCGTGTCCCCTGCCCACACCCCAGAGATGGGAGCACGATGTCAACTAGCGGGCGAGTGAGGCCAGGAGGGTATTTAAAAGCGACATCCTTCCGCCCCGGGACTCTGGTGAGCTTTCTCTATTGTGCAAGGCGCAGCCTCTGCTGAAATCACAGCTTCCCAAGCTGTGCAGTGCTCTGGGCGTGGGACCCAGGCGAGGTGGACCGACTGGAATCGCTAGCAGCGACAGGTGTTTTTTTGGCTCTGCCTTTTGACCTACCGAGATTTACAGCTTGGCTGCCTACGTGTGTGGGTCAAAGGTTTGAGGTTTTTTAATTCCTAGCCCTGTGGGAATAAACTATAGTTTTTGAATGCACATTTATAGTTTCTGAGCGCATATTTCTAGCCCTGTAGGAGGTGTAGTTTTTGAATGCATATTTATAGTTTTTGAATGCATGTTCCGAGCCCTGTAGGAATAAACTGCAGTCTTTGAATGCATATTCTGTTGAGTGTGGCTGTGCCTGATGATGTCATTAAGAGCGCGGGTGGTTCTGGAGCTGTGAGGTCCAGTGACGGGAGCTGCTGTTTGCCCTTGCGTGTGATTTATGTGGCCACGTGGATTCCGTTTGTTGGAAGACGAGGAGTCACAGCGGTGGTGACAGTTCAGCAAGTTGCCTGAGTCCGAGTTAGTAGTTAGTAGTCCGAGTTAGTAGTCTCAGAGATCTTCGGGAGAGCCCCAGGGAGCAGAGTGCTGGGGCCCACGTTTCCACGGGGCCTCGCTGGAGCTTTGGGCCTCTGAGTCCTTGTTTCCGCCCGGAGCTCTCAGTGCTTCTAAAACGTCCGTCTCAAAGCTCCTGGCTCCACACCCAGTTCTGCTTTTGGAGCCGTTCGAGGGATTCTTTATAGTTTTGTTGGAGGGATTCCCTTTTTGTGAATTTGGTTTCTGCTCGCGTGGTTCCCACATGCAGAGTGGGAGAGGACGTGAGCTTGAAGCTCAGCGTCTTCCTCTGAAGAATACCCCTGAGAGGACTGCCACTGTGGAGCCAAAATTCCAAATTATATATCTAATACTCAACCGCCAATAATGTTGTCGATCACTCTTCCTTTTTTTTTTCTTTTTGGGTCACACCCGGCGATGCACAGGGGTTACTCCTGGCTCTGCACTCAGGAATTACTCTTGGCGGTGCTGGGGGACCCTATGGGATGCTGGGAATCGAACCCGGGTCGGCCGTGTGCAAGGCAAACGCCCTACCTGCTGTGCTATTGCTCCAGCCCCGATCACTCTTCTTTAAATAAATTAAAAAAAAAATTTCACATCCATATGCGGTTTTCGAGGAAGTTTCATGAGATGCTGAATCTGCCCAAGGCTATAACTGCCAAACCTGTTGCCGAGGAGCGTAACGGAAGAAGAATCGCACATTCACTCAGCGTGAGCTGCACGAGAGCTGGGTGGGTGTTTAGGCGCCCAGGTGGGGGTTAGGGTTAGGATGCGCGGGTCATGTGCACGGCCTCTGTGCATCTCGCCCTGGCCTCGTTTGGTGACTCTCTCGACTTTTGAGAAGTGGTTGTGAGAACCTAGTTTGCTTTGGAGCAGTAAGAGCGATGGCCGTAGCAATGACAAAACCCCAAACCCCCGGAGACTGTCAGCCTTTGTAGAGGTGGATGAAAGTTCTAGTGAGGAAGGAAAAGAAAACCGTTATGCCAGCCAGTTTGGGTAAATCGAGGAAGACATCACACGAATTTCTGCTTGATTTTCTGTTAGACCTTCAGAACCATGAAAGATGGTAAGTATCTTTGTATAAAATGGTCCCTGAACAACCTGGTCAGTAGACGATTGTGGGAAAGTGTTGGAATGCGACTGGGAAAACCAGATGTTAGCCTCAGACCGATTCTTGAGGTGATTATGGACGAGTCGGGTTCTAAAATGGAACTATTCTGGGGGCCGGAGCGATAGCACAGCAGGTAGGGCGTTTGCCTTGCACGCGGCCGACCTGGGTTCGATCCCCGGCAGGCCATATG